TCACTAAGCTTCCCAGGACCGCGCGTGTAGTGGATTCTATCTGGGTCATCGTGGATCAATTGACCAAGAGTGTACATTTCATCCCGATCCAGGAAAGCATTTCTACGGAGAAGTTAGCTGAGATTTATGTTCGGTAGGTGGTGGCATGTCATGGGGTGCCGGTATCAGTAGTTTCAGACTTGGATGTTCGTTTTACTTCCAGATTTTAGAATCGGTTTCATGACGAGATGGGCACTCATCTCCAGTTCAGCACAACATTTCATCCGCAGGCCAATGGTCAGAGTGAGCAGACTATTCAGACTCTTGAGGACATGATGCATACGTGCGTGTTAGATTTCGGTGGGAGTTGGGATATGTATCTTTTGTTGGTGGAATTTCGTATAACGATTACCACGCCAGCATTGATCGACCTCATTTTGAGATGCTCTACGGGAGGAGGTGTAGGAACCTGATTTATTGGGGCGAGGTCGGTCAGCGACTCATGGGGAGTACCAAGGTGGTGCTCAAGACTACTGAGTTGATTCAGCAGGTTAGGAGCAGGCTCCAGACAGCTCATAGTCGGCAGAAAAGTTATGCCGACAGGCGAGGGTCAGACTTGGAGTTCCAAGTGGGAGATATGGTTCTCCTAAATGTGTCACCTTGTAAAGGTGTCATCCGATTCAGGAAGACTGGCAAGCTGGGCCCTAGGTATATTGGTCCCTTCAGGGTTTTTGCTCGGATGGGTCGGGTAGCATATCATCTTGACCTTCCAGCCGCGCTCAGTCAGATTCATAGAACCTTTCATGTCTCTCAGTTGAGGAAGTGTTTGGCGGATGATTCTTCAGTGGTACCTCTAAGTGGTACCTCTGGAGGATATTCGGGTGGATAACCGCCTGAATTATATTGAGAGACCAGCGGCAATTTTAGATCGAGAAATGAAAACCTTGAGGAACAAGGTTGTGAAGCTGGTAAAGGTCAAGTGACAGCATCGCAAGGGATCAGAGTGGACTTGGGAACCCGAGGAGGAGATGAGAGAACATTATCCAGATTTAATCAGGGCAGCGAACTTCGAGGACGAAGTCTGATTCAAGTGGGGTAGAATTGTAACATCCGTGATTTCAAGGTATTCTTAATTTATTTTATCTTGTATGTATTTGTTTTGGACCATGAAGTTATTTTATGTTTAGAGGATTGGGCCTCTATGTGTTTGGGGTTGTTGAGGTCGTACTCTGGGCATAAGCCTAGCATACGCGGGGCGTAGTGCGATCAAGGAAAACATGTATCCATGCACGTATGCGTAGCGTACAGAGTGGTACGCGCAGCATACGTGTGCTGACTCAAAACCCTAATTTTTAGGGTTCAAGCCCTATATAAGGTCATTAAGTCCTATGCCCTAGCCTCCTTATCAGCGTCCTTAGTCCAGAAACCCTAAAATCGAACCCTTCATCACCTTTGTGTGTTCTTGACCTTGTGGAGTGCATTTTTGGTAGCTTGGAGCCCTGGAAAGAAAAAGAGGAAGTTGGTGTAGGAGAGTTCGTGAAGCTTGAGCTTGAAGATCTGAATCATCATCATCATTTAGCACACATTTAAGGTATAAAGCTCAGAGCTTGCCTTGTTAATTCTTACATCTCTTGTGTTGAGTTTTTGGACCTTTTGGTCCCATGGTTGAGGTCTTGTGGATTAAGGTCGTTTCTTAAGCTTAGAGTTGCCACTCTTAGTGCTAATTGGGTCCTAAAGTCATAAAGTTTCCATCTTTGAGGCTTTGAAGCATCCATGCATGAGTATTGGTCATTTCAATGGAAGTATGTTGTCATATTCCAAGTTTGGCTTCATTTGGGGGCATGCAAGCCACCAAGTGGTCGACTTTATGGGTTAAAACACTTCATTGGACTCAGATCTGGGATTGGAACCCTAGTTCTGAAGGATTTAAGAGCTTTATGGGATTATGGATTAATAGGAGAGTACGTTGGGCGTACAAGCTCGTACGCGCAGCGTACAAGCCATGCAGCCTGTATGCTTAGAGTACAATTGAGTACGCCCCACATACTGACTGGATTTGGGCTTGCGTTGTTTGAGTTACTTTCATGGACCGGTGTCTTGGGCCTTCTTGGGCCCTCTGGAATTGAACCTTTGGGCTAGAGAAACATTATTGGGCCTTAGGATAAGGCCCATGCGAAGGGATTGGTTCCAATTGGAAATTGGGCCATATATTGGGCCTAGTTGGATTGTTTAACTTTTGGGCCATAGGTTTGTGATTTAGGGTTTCATTCATGGACCAAGTTATGATAAGGGTAAAATAGTCTTTTTTCTGTAGGGATTTTGGTTAAGGATGTAGATCCCAAATGCTAATTAGCTTTTATTTGGTAATTGATAGCTCGGGGAGCTGTAGGACCAGCAGTCAGGGATCATTCATTTCATCCAGCTTTTCGAGGTGAATTTCCTCACCGGGTGTAGTGGGTCTAAGGAACCAAAGCCGACCCTAGTCTGATTATGTTGATATACTTGTTGTCTATGTGATACTTCTATGTGTTTGTATATGTATGATTCATTTGGGCAGGGCCAATTATACGAGTGTGGGCAGGGCCCATATCTCATGTTTGGGCGGTCCCCATTATACGAGTGTGGGCGGGGCCATTATCTCATCGGGTCGGATATGTATGGTTTGTGGTATCTTGGGGAACTCACTAAGATTTGTGCTTACGGGTTTTAGTTTATGTTTCAGGTACTTCCGGTTCCAAGGGGAAGAGCTCGGATTGACTACATCGCACACACCATAGAGATTTTGTTTGTGGGACATACTCTGATTTTCATGATGTTTGATACTTTTACTATGTTTGGGATGTATAAACAATGTTTGGAATTATCGTGTTACTTAAATCAAAAATGATTTTTTTGGGCTATAATTTTTAGTTGTTTCATCTCCTCTCTCTCTTCAAGCTTCTTGGTTACTAGGGTTTGGGTGTGAACCATTAGAGGCACGACGCTTGTGGTGCTTGCTTCAAAGAGTTTTCAAGAAGGTTTTAATTAGTTATTTACTACAATAAATAAAAGGTATGTTTACTAAACCTAGATGTAAATTTCGATTATAACATAGGGCTCTTAGGGTTTTATATGATGTTTAATAGTTGTATGTTCAATTAGAGAAAACATAGATTTTCGAAAATTAGGGTTGCATGCATACAAAGGATTGTTTGTTTTGCTCAAAACCCATTAGTTTTCTCTATTGATAGCAATAAACTATGAACATCAAGAACCCTAGAAAACCCAAAGTAATTTCAAAATCACAAGTTACATATCTTTTTGATTATTATAACAAATAACCAGTTCAATTCCTTCTTCAAAAGCCTTGGAAAGCAAGCACCAGAAATCTAATGCCTCTAATCGTTTGTACCCAAACTCAAGTAACAAGAAAACTTGAGGAGAGAGGAAAGGGAGGAGAATTTCGGCTATTCTATTAGTAGAAGGTATGGACAAAAGTGAGGCACCCTAGGGCTCCTATTTATAGTAGATAGGAAAACCTGGAAACCCTAATCTTGAATAAAATAATAATATTTTAAAATTCAAAATTTAATCTAGTTATCCTTATCATTAGGAGGCATCCAGAAACCATAATGGGCTCCTTTAAAATCGTCCACCACCGGAAGGTTTTGGAATCCTTCCTTTGTTAAACTTTTGAACAATTACAGCTTAAGTCCTTGCAGCTTTAATTAATCCCACAATTAATTCCAATTAATTTCTAATTAATTATTAATTAAATAATATTATTTCTAATTAATACATTAATCTCATAATATATTAACAAATTATTTATTGCTATTTATTAATAATATAATAAATCAATAAATCAATAAATCAACCTCTCACTCAAAAGTCATTCTACACAATTACTATTTCCGAGGGCAGCCCAAAAAGGACTTTGCTTCTATTTGCAGCTTTATACCAATTTAGTTATGATCTTATACACCTGAATCCAACAAAGTCTGACATCTTACATAATAAAAAAAACAACATATTGCACATATTTTATTGAAAAACAACCATATATTAGATTTTTTGGCTAACAAAAAGCTCAAGTTCTTTATCTAGAGCCTCTTACTCGATGGCCACATCTTCTACGCTTATTTCAAGCAACAACTCCATCAACGATTTCAAATTTGTGAAGAATGGTTTACTAGTGAAAAGGAACACATTCAAGTAGAAATATGTTGATAATTAAGAAGTTAAAGAGAAATTTATTTTAATAAGATTTTTTCTATTAAAAAATGTGAGTTTTTATGACATTTGTCCCTAATAAATAAAAATTGTGTATGTAAGCCCTGTATAACCTGTGACTTATAGCATCCACAATGGTGAGTTCAAAGGGAAAGATGGATAAGGTGGAAAGTCTATTTGTCATTCAATAGATTAAACTCTACCATAATGAGATGTCACCTTGACATTCAATGGATTTGGAGTTCAATGACAATTGAACTCTTCAATGGAAAAAAAGAAAGTTTTTAATTCTTAAATATATACTATAAATTAGCTTTTTTAAAAAAAAATTCTATTGAAATTTGTAGAGTTCAATGCATTGTAGGAAAATAATTAATAAAGTTTGATGGAATGTAAAATATGATGTGTCAATCCATTGAACTTTATGGAGCTCAATGCATTGTGGATGCCCTTAAGATGACTTTTTTCGGACATCATTTATGTTTAGACAAGTTCACACTAAACAAAATAAGGTATTTTAAGTTTGAAAATTTTCTCTCTGGCAACTAATATCTTCGACATTAAACTGCTAAAGTTCCACGTTTTCCAAATATGCCACGATTTGTGGAGCTAGCGTAATACCAAAAAAAATCATTTCTTTCTGTAATCATCAAAGAAAGAAAGTGAAAAAAAGATGTGATTCTTTACATTTATTCAAGTATGCTTCCTTGAATATGTTAACCACAACATCAGGTGCGGTTCCTACGTACGTACTACTGTTAAGCCATATTGGCCATCAGAAAACAGTTGTTACTGTAAGAAAGGACATGTCACACCTTGATTCTCCTGAGTGCAAGGTAAGCCAATAATCTATAACCAAAGAACATAATTACCAAAATCCCCATGCATGAAAAAGTGGAAATTTGACCTTGGATATCGTCTTCAATAAACCTGCAGCTTGCATGTTTACTGCCATATTGAAAACAACCCAACATATACCATATTTCTCGTCCCTGCCCATATTGAACATGGATCAATAGCCTGTAACCATAAAAAGTTGAAGAGATGTATTTCATCCATGCCATGAAACCGGGTACTTTATGCACATAGTAACCTCCTGTTAAAACGAATGCCAACATGGTAACAGTTACTACGGTTGAGCCTTGTTTAGCGTCCATTATGATTGCACCAACTGCAAAGCCAAGTCCTTGAGAGACAAGCACATATGCTAGCAAGATTAACAGGGTGAGGAGAAATGCAACAAAGTCGGGTTTTAGGCCACACATCCAGTAGGTGATAGATATGAATATAGTAGGCAAAATAAGTTCCATGGGTGCATCTCCGACTATTCTGGCCATGAAATAGGAGGAGAGTGTGTACATACCGGATGCTCTTTCTTTCATGAACACGACTCTGTCTTGTGGGAATGCAAACACTGCATTGAATGACGGAAAGACACCCCAAAAGATTGAAAAAAAGAATAGGAGACCGAGTCGATCTTGGATGTCCCGAAAATCTGAATGCCACCACATGAAACCAGCCAATAATGAGGCTGCGATTACTTGGAAGACTCGAAGTGGATTAAATGTTTCATGCTTTCTTTCCTTGAGGCTTCTTTGGATGAGAATGGTGAACTGTATAAACCAGGTGTTGAGACCCTTCACACATTTAGACTTTGTATTGTAGTACTCATTATCAATGGAGGAACGCGTGTGCTCTTTCATTAAGGCTTGTGTATCAAAACACAAGCACGCATCCTTCACTTTCGATGCAAGCAGATCATTGTACGCGGCTATCAAACTTTGTCTTATGTTTGGCCGTTCTGCCCCGTCTTGTTGCCATACACCTATCAAAAATTAAATGAAAGTTATATACATTTTAATTTATTTAATAGACTCAACGGTAAGCCATCTATACAAACACTAACAAACAAACAAATAATAAAAATCATGAATTTATTTGCCTTCGTAAATAGCATTTTGTGGTAAAAAAACAATTGACCATAATCTAAAGTTATGGGACCATATATATATATATATATATATATATATATATATATATATATATATATATATATATATATATATATATATATATATATATATATATATATATATATATAGTCGAACAATAACCATAAAGCAAGTGAGGAGTAATATACAAAAGCAATATGCGAATTAGATGAGTCAACATCCAAATGACATAAACGCCACATGCACATGCCGATTTATTGACTGATCGCACGCATATGAAAATAAAGAAAAAGTGGTATAATTTGATGTTATAAAGAGGAATTGCACTCATGTAGCTGCTAATGGGGTAAACAACCACCCACTCTAGACCACTTTATCATCTTAAAATTAAAGGGTTATACTTTAATAGTATTATTAACCCTCATGTGATTGCACCACATAAATATCAAGTTCCATAAGTTTAGCCTATATCACTGTTTAAAAGAGATTGCTTCCAAGGCCTAATTACACCATCAGATAGATTGTTATTATTATCATTAACCCCCCCCCCCCCCCCCACACACACACACAAGTTCTTTTGTGAACCTAAAAAGTTTTTGTAACTTGGGAACTATTAATCCAAATATCATTTTTCAAAATAAAAACCGCAAATAGTAATAAAATACAGTGTTTAAGCCATATCTGGGCTAAAAAAAAGATTTTATGATTTTATTTTGACTGTTGAATTTTATTTATTTATTTACTGCAGATTCGAATATATATATATATATATATATATATATATATATATATATATATAGAGAGAGAGAAAGAGTTAGGTTCAAATGTTTCTACTATCTATTATGTCCACGGCGAGGCTTTGAACACTCAACTTCAAAGATGTAGGACACCACCTGATACGGATAGGCTAGAAGCCCTTAGTTGTGTGCGTGTGTGTGTCTATATATATATATATATATATATATATATATATATATATATATATATATATATATATATATATATATATATATATATGTGTGTGTGTGTGTGTGTGTGTGTGTGTGTGTGTGTGTGTGTGTGTGTGTGAAAACTGAACATACATTACAACCTAATTTAATCTTAGGTACTATATCCGATTAAAATATATCGTTTTATTAGATGAAGATTGTGATTAAAGATTCACGATTAAGACTTGAAGGTGTAGATTTTGGAATGAAACATTAATTTTGAAAGGGAAACAAGAATATTGATTATCTTCGAGTTTGTGATGGTGGGAAATAGTTGTGTTCACTATGAGGTTAGGTGATTATCACCCATCTTGTACAATAAAATGATAATAAATGCAAAACACTAATGATCGTGGTCACAAAGAAGCTTTAATTTCCATAAAGTAGTAGGAATCAGACATTTGATTGGTGGAGATTCAAGGGAATGTATTCTTGAATAAAATTAAGGGACAACTTTGTTTTTTTCACTTATAAACGGTACCAATAATGTTATTATCGAAAAATTTATATCAGAAAATGCATTATTATTTTTACTCATACCAAGGGAAGAAACTCTGTGGTCAGTAGTCGAGATTTAGTTTTTGTAATCCAATAACCGTCTACCTGGAGGTGCACTATTTAAATTCTGGAGTTTAAATTAGGAGATTGCCAAAAGACTAGCCCTCTCTCTTGTAATGTGGGAGCCTGTCAAGAATCCATTTTACCTTTTGAAGTTGCTTTTGATAGCAAACCTCATGTTACCCATAGGAAATTGACATAGTTGAACACACATTCTAGGATTCATATCAGAAGTATTCCTCATATTGATATTACCTGAATTTAAACCATCAAGATAAAATTTAAACTAATGGTCTTTACTAAACGCATAATAACGAGTTTGTCAACCACTTAAGTGCTATACAATTGAGACTTCTTACTCTTGTATATAGGATGTGTGTTTCAACCGTAATATATGCATTGCATCTACGTAATGCAGATCAGAGACTCGAAACTCATGAAATAGAAATACCAAATGCACTAATAAAATAAGGAATCATTAAGTTATGTTACGTAAGCAGTGTTGTCATCTTCCTCTACGACTTCATTTAGAGCAATTTATACAAAAATAAAAAAGTAACATATAATATTTATCAAATTAAATTAAATTAAAAAGTTATAAAAGGTGTTATTCCCCACTAGCATTTTGGTGACATGTGGTATTGCTAGTTCCCTTTAAAGAAAGATACCTTTTACAAAGCATGGAAACGCCAAATGATCGGCCTTTACTTTTTTGAAAATATAATAATATATAATTTGATATACATATATTCAAAAAATTGATAATTCTAATAAATACCATAGCATTACTTAGTAACAAAATTTAAATTTATAAACAGACTAAAAAACAAATCTGAATTATGGTTATATTTACTAAAAATGAAACATGTAATATTTTTATAGAGATTAAATATTCTCCTACTTATTCTTTTTACCCATCATCCTATCATTTTTAAATGATGACAAATATAATAAAAATTTATTAATTTTATTAAATATGACAAGTGTCATAATTTTAAATACATAGGAAGATGATAGGAGAAAAAAATGAGTATATTTGATTTCTCATTTTTATAAGAGTTGAAATATAAAGAAATACGACATCTAAATTACCAACCTCTTATTTTAAACATCAAATAAAAAACTTTTTTTTTTTCTAAATTATGATTAGTTTGTTATCATCACGAATGAATCAACAGCACAAATTGATTTCTTTTAGTCGTAGTACACTATTCTTGTATCCTCTCAAACTTTAAGTTATGATCTAGCACAAAAAATTTGGATCAACTTCAAATTATAATAGATGTTATTTGTAACGAAATATGGTTTCTTTAAAAAAATAAAAATAAATAACTACTTCTTTCCTATTTTCCTATTCCGGGTACTGTTATAATTAACCATTATCTAAACTATATAACTTATATATTAATTTAAATTAATAGTTCCTTTTAATTGACAGGAAGCACTATTAATAACAAGTTGGTATCTCCATTGACCTGATCATTGACCCATTTATTGCTGCAAAAACAAGAGATCTTGTCATGTGTCCCCAGAATTTAAACATTTCATATAAAAATATTGAACAATTTCAATCAATTTAGGTATTTTTATTTAATGTTTAATATATAAAAATGTAGTTAATAAATTATGGGTAGCAAGTTGCTAATAAAAAAGACCCAAAAAATCTTATTAGTTTTATTTTAAAAAATCTCAAAGAATATCATATTTTTTAATACTTATGTTAAACACAAAAACATGTTTGTCGACAAAGTGGACCTAATCTCTTTCAATTTTAAAGAGTACAACAAAATAACCCGAGTAAATGATTTTGTAGTTTGTTATCATAAAATTTGCTGGCAAGTGAAGCGAATCGAAATCTTGAAATCATTGGGAAGTGGAAACAAACAAAAGAAAATGGATTGGGTAAAATGAGTATAAATAGACTCGATCAACGGATTTCCACTTTCGAGCCACTTCACTAGAAATAGAGAACCAAACTACGTCATACATCGACACGTTTACCATTTTCACTGTTGCCACCTGCATACCACCTACAGGCTGCTAACAATCAATAACCCCCTTCCCAAGTCCCAACCAATTTTATAGTAATTAGGTTTCTTTATAGAAGTTTTAATATCAAAACTTATTGATTTCTATTGTAATGATACTTTTCGCATATATGTAACAAAAGCTTATTTTTGTACCAATTCAATCTCTTAATAAATAGTATTAAGTATTGATACCATTTTTAAATTATGTTGACTTTTTTGCTTAACTTATAGCATCCATGGTGGATAAAACGACATGATGGATTGAACGGGAGAGTTAAACGAGATCACAAACTTAATTGTCATCTATTAGATGAAAATCTATCGATATAAGATGTCACTTTTTCAATAAATATGGAGTTCAATAGCCAATAAAGTTTTCAATAGGAAAAAAAATTATTTAATAGATATTTAAATATGTAGAGTTCAATGTATTATCGGAAAAAATGATAAAATTATATAGAATATATATAGAATCATAGTGGTGTGACGGTCAATTAAAGGATATATAATTCAATACATTGTAGATGTCTTTAGCATTTAAAATGACAAGACCAAATCCATGTTCTTTAAAGAACCCTATGTATTTGTGTAGCTTTTGCTATAACTTCATGATATTTTGTTTATGTTGTTAAGTTCTATAATATTTTACAAAATATCATTGAGAACTATTCAAGGTAGATGATTTAATTTTATATTAGTAGTTTTTTTAGTAAGATATGACAATTTTTTTATAAATAAAATGATGTACTTGTCGCTAGAAAATGTGCATAACTCATCAAACTGTAACCACTGCTATAACAATTTAATCTGTCTACTAGCTAGCTACTAATTACAGGTCTTAAACAATCATTCAATAAGGCTAAAAGGTGTTATGCGGATGGCACCACATTCCACCTAAGCTCCACCACCTTCCATTTCACTAATTGTCATTTTTGCCATTGAATGTAAAATGATAAGGTGTGCTTCTGTGGTGTTGAGAGAGAGAGAGAGAGAGAGAGAGAGAGAGAGAGAGAGAGTTTTGTCTCCCATTTTCCATCGGTGGAAATGCAGTGGCCGTGAAAAAAGGTTCCTGACATCGTCTACTAGCTAGCTACTAATTACAGCTTACTATCGGTAAGAATTGTATGACACCGTGCAGCCCAACCTAACTCGTAAGGTGACTTCAATTTTGTTTTTTTATTACTTTCAAGTTTGAACACATTTCTAACAAAAAAAAAAGCAAAAAAATTTATAACAATAACGTTTTGTTCCACGAACTAAAGTTGACATAACGTATAATTTAATAAAATATTAAGTTTAAAATTTCTAAAATATCACTAAATAACATACCATAAAAATTTATAAAATAAAGTTAACATTATTGCATATTATACTCGATCAGATACGAACGAGCTCCTAACTTAATAATATTTAAGGTGATATGTGATTTTTGATCAACTTTTACTAGATATTGACTGACATATATAGTAGTTAAATACACCCACCACCGCCCCTCTCCACTATAGTTTAAGGGTCCTGATTTGATTCTTCCACGACTCTTTTTAATTCATCCACATAATTCAAAAGTTAACGGACTATTATGCCCCTCAGTTAAAATTAAGAGATAGTAAAGAGAGAGGAACGCAATGATTTGTTTCCAAACACGCCACACGTTCTTCTCCTGCGGAAACCGATCTAATTGCACCTGATGAAAAGCCCGTAAGGGAAAAAGAGTCTTTAAAGCAAAGACTTCATGTGGGATCCTAAGTAGCAGGGGCAAAAGGGTCTTTAATCCAATTACTTCATGCCATCATGATGGAACCAAAGCAGCAAGCCAGCAACATCAGCAACGACCAAGGAAAACACCCATTGTTAAAAGCATCTTTAAATCAAGAAATAATCACCAACCACAACCAGTTTAAAACTGCAACTTGTAATGGGCAATCACAGCAAGACCAATATGAAAATTAATAAATAGCATGTAACTGAGTCGACCAAACAAACCCAAGAATATGCTGTAACTTTATACCTAGCTCACACAGACCATGCATGTAGCTAGGTTATGGCTTTTTACCACTAACACGCACAAAAAGAGTTGAACCCACACAAACACCCAAATCCACCCAGCCTAACGGGACACAAAATAATTAAAAAAGAAATGAAAAGAAAAGAAAAGGGATCTAACTATATTTCTCAAAATTCCCATACGAAGCCAACCCCCAGGAAGAAATGGAACACACACATGAGAAATAGAGAATCTCAAACACCTAGCTAGGTAACCCAAAAGATTTTGACGACCAAGAAACATATATTTGATGATTTATGGACGGAAGCTTAAGTGCTTAAAACTCCAGAAATTAAGTATGAATGAACAAAGATATAAATTGTCTATTCTGTGAGTTTTAGCCAATTCCAATTCCAAAAGAAAGAAAACCTGGGTGAACCAATTTCCAGAAAGTATTAAAATACGTTTTATGTAAACCGAGGGCATACTTGTCAATTAACCAGAAAATTATGTGGATGAATAAAAATAAGCTATGGAAGAATGGTGTAATAATAATGATTTAAAATTTTTTAAGAAAAGAAGGTGAAGAAGCTGGATCTTTTAATCTTTAATTGATTTAATTCTATCTGGAGTACCATGAGAGCCTTTTCATTACTTGTGGGGCTTCAACGACCCTACCCTCTATCGCAACTTGCTAGCTAATATCCTAGTCCCTGATGGCTATGGCCTATGGGTCTCGTTTTTTATTTAAATATTTAAACCAAAAGTAAAGCCAATATTTACAACGTTGATGTAT